CGCACCCCTACCCGTTGTCGAGGAAGTGTCCACGCCCGCCACGCCCCGCGGACCCCTCCGACGGGTTCGAGACGCGGTTGTCTCTCGCCTCGGGGCCCCTGCGCACGCCCTTTATGGTGTACGGAGATAATTTACCACGCAAGCCACGCCTCGCGACCTGGGACGGATATAGAGACCGCGGTGAGGGACCACCCCCTGCGACCACCCCGTGACGGCGTGGAAGAAAGTACCACCGCCCGCCAAGCCCCGCGACCCTGGGACGGATAGAGACCGCGGTGAGGACCCCACCCCAGAAACCCTTACTTGGTGTCGAGGAAGTGCCACGCCCGCCACGCCCCGCGACCCTGGGACGGATAGGGACCGCGGTGACGGACCACCCCCTGCGCACCCCCTACGGTGTTGAGAAAGTACCACGCCCGCCACGCCCGCCACGCCCCGCGACCCTGGGACAGACAGAACCCGCGGCGAGGGACCACCCCCTGCGCACCCCCTTTATGGTGTGGAGGACATGCACGCCCGCCACGCCCCGCGACCCTGGGACGGATAGAGACCGCGGTGAGGGACCACCCCCTGCGCACCCCGTGTGGCGTGGAGAAAGTACAGTACCACGCCCGCCACGCCCCGCGACCCTGGGACGGATACAGACCGCGGTGAGGGACCACCCCTGCGCACCCCCTGTGGTGTCGAGAAAACGCCACGCACAGGTCGCCGGTAACGCAGGCGCTCAGGGACCACCCCCAACGAGAAAGGGCCATGCCTGCCGTGCCCTGCGCATCCTACACGTGCGTGTTGTGTATGGCGCGTCATGTGTATGTGTATGATGCGCGCGCGGCCGTATCTGGACGCGTGTCTCATGCGGGTGCCAAATATGTGGTGCATACATATTGGGTAAGCTGTGCTACGCTGTGCTGTGTTGTGCTGCGCTGATCTGAGCTGAGCTGTGCTAAGCTGCGCTGTGCTGAGCTGAGCTGTGCTGAGCAATGCTGTCAGGAGGAGGGGAAGAGGGAGGTGAACGAGTGAGCGCGGGTGGAACGCGGCACTGAAGAGAACAAGAACCCCGCGAACCATGCGGGGAATAATACGGCTACGATTTTTGAAATAATGTCGGGCATCATTTGAACATGTTGTGACGATTTTTTTCTCTTCCGCCCAAAATCGGCCTGTGAGAAAACGCGCCCGATCTAGCCCTTCCGAGGTGTGGTGGTGGGGTGGGGGGGGCCGGGCGTGGCGTTGCACGCTGGCCACTCAAGAAGGAGCTTTGAGGAGTGCTGCCAGCGCCGCTCTCGCCGCGCCCCCAATGCGCCTCCTCCTCCTCCTCCTCCCCCTCCTCCTCCTCCCCCTCCTCCTCCTCCTCCCCTCCTCCTCCTCCTCCTCCTCCTCCTCCTCCTCCTCCTCCTCCTCCTCCTCCTTCTGCGCTCAGCCCTGCAAGACATGAAGTCTGTGGTGATCCGATGACAGCACATGCAAACAAGAGAAAAAAAGAGAGAGAGAGAGAGAGAGCGAGAGACAAGTGACAAGTAGAAAGGGCGCGGGGGCTGGCCTCCTCGCCACTGTCAGTGGCGCTCCCGACTAACCCACGTAGGGGTCCATAGGCATGCGCAGGGAAGCACGCACAGACTCTGGTGGTGTGAACTGGCCGATCGAACACAGTGGGGCCGAACGAGCATCATGGACACACTGACCTTCGAAAGTGACACGACACATGGCAGATGGCCACTGGATGGGGGAGAGCACGAAACCATCCAATCAATCGAAACCAGCCATCCTCTTCCTCCTCCTCCTCCTCTTCCTTTTCCTTCTCTTCTTTTAGGCCTTATTCGGTAAACGATGTCTTGGTATGTTCAGTACTGCCCCCTTCCAACTCCCAACCTTTTCCCCAGGGCTGGCTTTGCATCTCGCGCCGTTTTTTTGACAGCCCCAGAGCCCGATCACCCCACCCCGAGGCCCCGAAGACGGTGAAAAGCCTCCGCCCCGATCTGTTCATGAAGTGGGATGTATGAGAATCGAGCATCCAAATCTCAAAATCTCGATCTTTGGGCGTCTCCAGGGGTGTGCTCTGGCCAAACTTCCAAAGCGGGTCCGGCCGTGGCGACGAAGACAAACAGAGACGACCAGAAACGGTTGAACAACTATACCCTATACCCTCGATCCTGGAATTTCATCCTCTTGGCCCCGTCACCAGATATCCGAAGTCGTGGAATTTGACGCGTTGTGGCTCCCTGGAATTGATAGCCCGAAATTGGTACGGAAAGAATGGGTACGATGCCCAACAACAAATGCTGTCAACAGTCAACAGAAGCCGCTGTTGGGCAGGCGGCCTTGTGCCTCAGATAAAGGACGCCGGTGGCAGCGCGGACAACGAGTCCTGTTCAAAATGAGCAGGAACTGCTGTCGGTCTTCGTAACAGTACCTACTCCGATCCTACCGACCGGAGGTCTGGACCCCTTCCTTCGGGACCTGTTCTTGATGCCGAGTCGTTCCTTCCAGCCCAAAAGCCAAGCCAGGGTCCTCGGGAGTCCGGAGACTGGAAACCCGCCCCAATGAAGACATCAGGGGATGTCAGGCGGAGGGGGAGGGGGAGAAGGAGGGTGATGATGATGAGCGCTCGGCGGGGACCTGGTCAAGCCAGGGCGCATGCTTCACATCACACACAGGCCGCTTCACGACAGCACCACCCGCATGTGGAAGCCGAAGGCGAGGAAGACAATGATGAAGTACACCCGCGCGAATGCTGCCCGCCGTGCGTAATTAAAACTGCCACTCCAGCAATACTCCCAAGGTATAGTGGCGAGCTCACGCTTCTTGCAACCACCAGCAAGAGAGGGAATTGATACTACACACAACGTGAAACACCCAGCTGAAATACTGTACCAAAGCCGCCAGCCATGACCACCACACCGTCACAATGCCGCGCGTCAAAGCGCGAGCATACATGATGAACCGCCAGCACCAGCACGACAACGAAGAAGAGCCAGGATGCGAATGACACGCAGAAAGCCTAGGCCAGAGGCCACATCCACATCGCGACAACGCACACATGACTCCACCAGCCGCCGATACGGCACAAGGGCACACCAGGCCCTGGGCGAGGGGAAGGCTAGCCGCCAAGGCTCGTCCCTCGACCCTGCATCAAAATTGCACTGAGCCAACTCCCACCAGAAAATCAACTGAACAAAACCAATCCAGTGGAAATGAGCCCAGCCCCGCAGGTAACGACAAAAATGCCTCGAACAAAGCACCGGCATGATGCGCACACCGGGCAACTGCACGCCCAGCAGCCCGCCAGCTAAGTAGCACAGCCCTATGAACACGAGGAAGACCACCTGGAAAGCGAAGAGCTGCAGCATGCAATCGAAGTGGGAGGCAAACGAATTCAACCCGGCGTTGCCAGGAGCACCTGGACCTCAAGCAGCAGGGAGCGGCGCACCACCCCACATTAAGCCCCGGGACGACGGCCGAGCGGCGCTGCGGGGGGCCACTCGAGCCGACGTGGCTTGAGAGGGGGAGAAGGAGGGGGAGGAGGAGGAGGAGGAGGAGGAGGAGGAGGAGGAGGAGGAGGAAAAGGAGAAGTAGAAGTAGAAGGTGGAGGAGGAGGAGGAGGACCAATGTAAAGCCAGTGTAGGACCAGTCTGAACCCATTGAGGAAACTCCCTCGTTGGAAGACAACCGTTTGAAGATCCTGAAGCATGTCAACACATGGTTCTCGGGATTCCAACGCCAAAGATTAACCAGACTGCTGCGTCTTGACGATTCGGAATCGTGCCAGAACGCCATTTTGGGGACTTCAACGCCGCGAATCAACATAACTGCTGCATCCTCAAAATATTGAGAGCTTCCAAAACACAATTTCTGGTACGATGGTCATGGGAATTCGTGAAACTCGTACAAACGTTGTGAACAAATGCGCACGGCACTAAAGCGAGAGCCACACTTTGAAAACCATCCGCCCTCAATCCGTGAAACTCGTGCAAATGTTCTAAACGAATGTGCGCGGCGCCAAAGCGAGAACCACATCTTGAAAACCACCCGCCCTCAATATGTGACGCTCTTCCGAAATTTCAACACAAATGTGCGCGGCACTAAGGCGAGAACCACATTTTGAAAACCACCCGCCCTCAATCCGTGAAGCTCATAAGCGAATGCGCGCGGCGAAAAAGCGAGAATCACATTTTGAAAACGACCCGCCCTCAATCCGTGAAGATCTTGCAAATGTTTCAAGCGTGCGCGGCGCTAAAGCGAGAGCCACAATTTGAAAACCAACCGCCCTTCATATGTGAAACCGTTGCCACGTTTGAAGCTTCAGACTCATACCTGGTGTGGAAGTCTCAGGCGAAACGCCCGGCCCGCCCTAAAAACTGAGCTCGTGGTGCGACAAGAAGAAGTTATTCACAGGGAAAAGTAGTGGAGGAGGTGGAGCAGGAGGAGGATGAGGAGGAGATGGAGGGATGATGATGGTGATGGTGATGTTGCTGTTGCTGATGTTGATGTTGATGCTGATGCTGCTGCTGTTGTTGCTGATGATGATGATGATTAGATGATGGTGGTGATGATGATGATGATGTTGATGATAATGGTGATGCTGATGTTGATGATGTTTTTTGCACGACACGAAGATGTCAGGGGAGGGCCCGCCTCCTCCAGGGCTCCTTCCCTGTGGCGCCGGGGGGGCGCTGGCCAGGGGAGGCCGAGCGGAGGACGACGCTGACGACGTCGAATCCCGACGACGTCGAATCCCGACGACGCCGACGCCGACGACGCCGACGACGATCCAGACATCCAACGTCTTGGCAACAACATGCAGAGGCCGTTCCCCGTCCCCGGCCTCCAGGGAGGGGAGGTCTGTTCGTGCCCACGGGGCCGTCAGCTCGGGGCGAAGAGGAAGGGAGCAGGAGGAGCAGCAGAAAAGGAGGAGGAGGAGGAGAAGCAGATGCCTGGGCTGGCCGAAGCCTCTTTCTGCGCTCAGCAGGGCGACGCCACCCCGCGGCGCTCACAGGCCTCTC